TAATGTTTGTGCTCATGAACACCTTCCAGAAGACGTAGTCGAGACAGTAAACACCCCGACTACTTCTAATTGGTCATAGTAGCGACATAAACTAATTGTTTACGAGAGCAGTAAATTTCCTTTAGTCTGTCAGACTCAACAGCAGGAGCAGTTGCTATTTAGATCAAAATACCTATGCTATATATAGAAAAGTAATGTTTACAACCCTTTCTGTCTTACCTCGAGTAGCCGCATGCCCAGTAATTCAGTACTCATCTTAATTATGGGGTTGCCTAATTAGATTAATATACATAAAGCCCTCGTCTTTTTGTATCTTCATATTATTATTGTCAGTATTATTAGTCTTCCAAACACATGAATAATTTAGTTAGCAACCACCTGATTATTTCTTATAACTGCATACACTACGTAGTCTTATGTAATATACATATTTATTCTCATTATTAATCTCATAGTTCCATATGTGTAAACCTATTAAATTTGGCATTGTGTACTAGTTATCTCAACATCAACAATTCCATTCTATCTTACAAACAGTCCTAAGTCAAAATACCTATCCACCTTATTGATTTCATAATTTGAGCATTCATGCTATGTATTCTAAGCTAAAACGTTAGGTAGATGCATGCGGATAAGTTGCGACAACTGAGTTACTAGTAGTACTAGTCGGGTAACATTATGTACGAAGGAATCCTGGAGACTTACGACAACAAGAAGGAATAGTAGTCATCAATTCGACTAGAATCTGCTGTGCATTGAAAATGTCTTGTTTAAGTCTTAAAGATAGAAATATGTGGATGTATTAAAGAATTTGAAGAATTCTTGATACTAAAACTAACTCCAGTTTCTGATTTTTAGAAAGCATTCTATACCTTAAAATATGTTTGTTCTGAAATGAATAGATTATTTGTAAACATTACAACATCCAACTCGTAATTATTGCCAAGCGATCCACGTTAAAACACCACATATCGCTAAATAATTGTAAAAAATGTGATTGAGTTGCTACAACTCATCGCGTTGAGAGTGCAAAAAATATTCACTTTTGTATCACGTCAATAAAACCAGCAGGAAACAAAAATAGATGTTTGAGTCCCTGGTATTTTTCGATGTTATGAAGAATTTATTCTTTCAACCACGTTTTCTAAAACTCAAGTAATATCTCAAATCAAATAAGCAAACTTTGTGCATTGATTTGACTACCTGAAATTTGTGGTGATGTCGTTCAAAAGAACGATGAAAGCTCCAAGACTAAACTATGCAGCTCAGAGAACAAAACTTCATCAAAATTATCCACCTGAGCTACAAATCTCCACCATGTCAGTATCTAAAAAACATCATTATAAAAATAATACATGTTTTTCAATTCAATTGGTTGTAGTCTTTCATCTGAAATGCGTGAAAAAGTTTAAATGGCTTTATACAACAACTCTAAGGCATAACATAATCCCAATCAAAATGGAATTCGACTTCAATCCGATTACTTAGTAGTTCTATCTCATGAGAAGCGAAATAATGTGCAGAAGCATGTGAAAGACTGGACTGTGAACAAACCCGGTAGGCAATTGACAGTAATGTTAGTGAACTATGAAAAAATACTATTCAAGTGAATATTTTAGGAACATAACAAACAAAGATCTGATTCGAACAAAACATGACTACCGGCGTTTCAGTAAGTCAAGTATAAACAGTCAACTGGAACTTTGTACAGCCAATATATTTCTGTGATATACAATATTTTTGATGGAAAAGATATTTTACACAAAATGGTACTTAAAAATGTTAGAGTACATGACCGATGAAATTGTCCTTTCAGTCACCTTTCGAGTGGTTCCGTAACTCGTGTTGACAGACCATAGATGAGAGCACTCAACTATCGGTTGTAGTTATATTCCTCTATTTTTCTCTAGATCCCGAACTTATTATTAATACTCCATTAACTCGCTTCCTCAGCTGTCCTATTAGATACAATCGTCCGGACAGATACATACTTGTACCAAATCCATAGGTATTTACGACTGCTCAACATTAATCTACTGAAAGTAATCTGATCATATACAATAGATTTTGAGATCTTTTCAGTAAATTTATCTTAGAGAGTGAAGAAACAATATTGTGGCAACTAACAATATAATCATGATTTAAAAGCTAGGAGTTAATGAACATATATGAATTACCATACAGGATCTACAAGATATTTTTAGGCAAATAATTCACTATATGCATAGACGGTTAATATTTTAAGGTTAAAAATTGTGAAAACTAAATGATTCTTCATGCTACTACTGTTATAACTAAAAAAATGTGAACAGCACAGTTATTAGTGCATTCAGAATAAATAAGTATTTTATCTAAACAATTCAAACATAAGAATAATGATACAAATGGATGTACATACTTAAAGTTGTTCAAATTAAGTGAGATTAAAAATAAGCTGCCTGATTATAAAAGTAAAAATTTAATCAATCAATTCGCAAAATTTATGAACATGACCTTAATTTTTCATGACAGCTACAGGAATGCGCGTTATTAAAAGCAGATAATCGATTTATTTACAAAAGTATCGTATATAGTTAGCAAAAGCTACACTAAAAATGAATGTAAACATTTTATGTTGTTACGAGTAATAATCGAAGTTTTTATAGTATTCTAGTAAGCTCTACCAGGTGTTAATTTATTATGTCTTAGTTTTAGCATTATATTTTCTAGAAACAAAATACACACGGATTACTTGATAATAAAAACTAGGAATAGCCCGGCAGTATACATAAATAAGGAAAATACGCCCAATTTCAATTTAATGTCTTTTGAAGGTTTATAACGTTCAGCCGATTGTAGTTTGGAAAGAAAATAGGTCCACCTTTATTGCTTTAATGCGATCGGCGAGAATGTTAATCAATATCTTACCATAAAATTTTCGATTACAATAGAAGACAGAACACTGAATGTCTAGTTACAAACAAACTAGTTTGTCGATAGATCAATTCAATATGACTGTTTGATATTGTGTGTGGATTAGAGGTTTGTAATTAATAAATGTTGACAATATTCCCAAATAAAACAGGATATCATGAAAATATACTTGACCGAAGTTACTTATAAAAACTTTTTCATGTTTTAATTATAATGAATATCAGATAATTTAGTAAGTGAAAAGGTTTGATACGATAGGACTGGGATTCACTAATTATATAGTTTAATGTTCAGTAAATGATTGAAATTTTAAATCTTACTCCACGTACTCTAGTTTAGACTACTGGGTAAGATCATGATAATCATATAATTGAGTATAATTTATTTACTGTTTATAATAAACCAGTTGTATGGAAAGAAACTTTTTTTTTCAAAACGCATCACAGCAATCATAGTTTAAACTAGTAAAAAATCTCTAAAGTGTAGGATATATTTAGCACTATCCAGTGTCTGCAACAATACACTAATCACACAAATAAAAATAACATTAGTATGACTAATGGATTATTGATTACGGCGCTTGAACTTTAACCAGTAAGTTGCAAGTTCGGATCCCGCCTCGCCAGCTTTCATGGTATTAATTAGACCCGATTACATGAAACGGCCTGGTAAATGAGCTATATCAAATTAATAATCACCTGGTAAGACAAGTTTTATTAATCACAAAAATGAGTGAGACAGGTACTAACGAAATAATTAAGTACAGACAATGATTTTTGAGTACTACAGTGAGATTGGTATCCTGAGCTGTACTACCGTGATGCTTAATATCACGATAAAATTCATCACATGACATCTGAAATTGATTAGATGGAGGATTAAGCAGGTTAGATAAAAATGTACAAGAAAGTACAAAAATAGTAAATGATAATTTTGGGGGAGCTCGGTTATCTGACATTACAAAGTTACCCAATCTAGGATCGGTTTGATAAACAGCCAACCATATTATACTGTTTGGAGAATGCTTTTCGCTCTGAATTCTTACATCTATTTATTGGAAGATGAACGCTCATTAAAGATTTAGTCGGATGACTAGCACCTGATTTACTTACATCACTTACTTTGTTAGCTGTAAACTGAAAAAAAGTATTGGTCGTGAAATCAAATAAATCACGATCACACCCAGAAGCAATCAGAAGAATTAATTGCGCTTCATTTTTAGTACACGAAATTAGGTGTACAAACTGTGTAAGTAGTTTATTATTGCTCAGTCAAACCCCAAAACGCGATAGCTTAATATTGCTGAAGGCTATTGTTTACAATGAAAATAAAATGAGTTACATACTAATATTATGTTTTCAGCCATATTAATTATTGAGTTGGTTTAAGTGCAAAATATAATCCTTGAAATAACAAAATCCACATTACTACGTCATAACACCAAAGTAGTTTAAGCAAACAAAAGCACCAAGAACATTTGTGATTCACCTTAAGAATCAAATAAAAAAGATGTTTGATACTTGCTATTTTTAAGATAAGGGTATAATCCTCCAGTGTGCAAACGGACAGAAAATTCTCCAATGTGTTTTCATATTTACGAGCATAAAATATTTTATAGATGTATATGACCTTATTTGTCACAAAAATATTTTGTAGCTGGATTTTTTTTCCAGAGACACGCGTAATAAAATAAGTGCATTTTTATGATGATGCTACGATATTCTTTGAGAAAAAGATTATATAAATATAAGTCAATAATGAAGTCAATTCAAACATTTTAGTATGGAAATGTAAATTAAACGCTACACACAATGATAAAAAGAGAGTTTGGTAACATTCAGTGCTTATCAAGATGAATAGCCATTTAACGTAAGTAAACACGTAAGGAAGTGTTAACACACGTACAATAAAGTCCATTGAGTTTTACATTAAGAAAACAAACGCATATTAATAAACACAATCAAACGCATACTTATGAGAACATATATTACAGTATAAATATATAGACTTAATGTGATTTATGTGCATGGTCAATTCATCATTCATTCATCATCACGCATTATTATCAGTGGCACCAATTGCAGAACTCAGTAGAAAATTTGATGTAGCCTTTCTGATGATTCACTCTTTTTGTACAGACAAACACAGACGTTCAAAGCTAAATTGGAAAGAGTGTATAGATAAAACGAACAAAGTTAAATTAATTTTTATTATACAGAAGCTAATAATCACACTTCATTTTATTGTAACAATTGACAAACAACATATTTTGTGTAATGAACCAACTTTTGTTTCTCAGTGGACGACAATATTTAGCCAACAAACCAATAAGATACTTTAATATAATACAAAATAACAGCATTGACTAAAGGTGACTTTTATCCCAATCGCTGAACTAATATGCAGTTACATAGTACCATTTATTTATTATTTTACTGACAAGGAAACAAAGAAAGAGTAGGTGAAAATAGGTTAACAAAGTACTAAGGATTATACAGTATGATATTAGTTACTTTTGGCAACCGGTCTTATAGGAGATTACTTACGAGCTATCATTAAGTTTCTTCGAGATTATAGTTACATCTTACTGACGGGTGTCAGCACATACAGAACCTCTGTTTAGACCTCCTAAACGACTTCGTTAAATATTAAAACCACATGAATAAGAGAAAATAAATAAGAAGTTTAAAAAATATACATTTATTAGATTAAAATTTTAAATACAGAACATTGAGAGCACGTATTGATCAAACCATAAATCTTTATGGATAATAAGTAAGAAAGAAGTATTTGAGTAGTTATTATATTGATAACTGCCAATAAAATGGTACAGCAAGAACATAATAATGGATTTGAGCATTCACCTGGAATATTTTTGCCACAATATACTTGAAGTATCAATGTATTAGCAGTATCCACCACACTAAACCTTTATATATGCTCCTTTCTATTAGTAGGTGCCTAGTTTGGTAAAGTATCTGAAAACTGATTTGAGATCACTTTGTTCTCACAGTGAAGACGGTAACACTTTATATCGCTATAAGAAAATTGGCTGCAGATCTGAAACAATGTTTACATTTGAAGAAATGACGCTTATATAGAGAACTTAATTTTGTGTATTTGTGGGAAACATTACTTATAGATCTTAAAAAACATTGCAATGAGTCATTACATCTACTAAAGACAAGGACATGAGTTAATATAGAGAAATTAAACCGATTTTGTATATTAAAATTACAGAATTATAAGCTTTTCCATCTAATTGATATGCAGTATCCAGTTCGTATGACCACTGATCATACAACAAGATATATTCACTAAAATTAAACTGCTTCAAGTTCAAATTATTATTCGGGTATAAAGTAAAATAAAGTCAATGCATGTTTGGTCCCGTAATTTGACATATAATAACAAATAAGCAACTCCGCCTATAGCTCTTCTAGAGTTACTGCCGGTCCCAAGCCCACAAAAAGAAAGGTTGGGGGTGGGATCGACAACCCCATCCGTTAGAAAAAAATCTAGCTAAAAGACGCCAACCAGATTACACAAATTAAACCATTTAAACCCAGCCCTACAAGTTGATGGAAGGATTATGACGCCAGATGATGAAAGCCGAGATTCTTCGAAAGTCACGAGGCCGATGCCTCTTCTAACGACCAGAGAAACAACTTATATAGGTACATGGGATGTTCGGACAATGTGGGAGACCGGGAAGACCAACCAAATAACTGCGGAAATAATGAAATACAACTTGATAATGCTCGGAATCAGTGAAACGCATTGAACCCGATCTGAACAGAATAGGATATATTCGGAAGAGGTGCTGCTGTACTCAGGTTACGACGAGGAAAATGCTCCGCACACTCAGGGAGTTGCTTTGATGCTGTACGATGAAGCACGGAAAGCTTTCATAGGATGGGAATCTCATGGACCCTGAATCACCAAAGCACCGTTCAAAACGAAGTAGGTGGAAATAACAATGAATAGTATCCAGTACAATATGCTCAATAATGGTAACAATGATATCAATAAAGATCAGTTTTATGAGAGGCTGCAATCAATCATAGTGAAGCACCTAAAAAAACACCTCACCATCCTGATCGGAGACCTAAACACATAAGTAGGAATGAACAGCACTGGATATGAAGATATTGTGGGACGGCTTGGTCTGACTGTGAGAAAGGGACGACGGTAGTGAGAGATTTGCAAATTTATGTGCATTAAACAAATTGGTTATAGGCGGCACAAAATTCCCCAAAAAAACATATACAAATCTATATGGATCTGTCTCACCGGATCACATCACGGGGAACTAGGTCGATCATATTTGTGACAATAAAAAAATCAGAAGGACAATGGAAGACATGAGAACCGGGATAGGAGCTGATCACCAGATCACCACCTGGTTGTGGCCAGGATGAAAATGAACTGTAGCTAAGCAAATACTGGAAAGCTGGGAAAACAGCAGTACAAATGTTCAATACAACATTAATACGAGATAATAACAAACACAACCAACTCAAGATAACTCTCAACAACAGGTTCTAAGCCTCACAGTATCTGCTCAAAGAAGAAGAAACTACTACTATAGAGAACAACTGGAAAGGGATCAAAGAAGCGATAACTCTAACGTCTCAGGAAGTACTGGGCGGCAAGAAGCATCATCACAAGGTATGCATCTCTATCGATACAATGGACAAAATTCAACAAAGGAAGAACAAGAAGACAGCCATTAACATCAGCCGAACAAGAGCAGAGAAAGTCAAGGTGCAAGCTGAATACACAAAAGCAAACAAGCAAGTTAAGAGGAACATTAGCGTAGATAAGCAGAAATATGTGAAAGAGCTGGAAACGACAGCGGAAAAATTGCAAGAGAAGGAAATATGAGACAGCCATATTATGACACAACGAAGAAACTAGCGAGGAAATACAGTAACCAGAGAGACCAGTCAAAGACAAGGAAGGCAGGACAATCATCGAGATCCAAGGGCAAAGGGACAAATGTGCAGAACACCTTGAGAAACGCTTGAATGCACCAGCTCCACTGGACATCGAAGCAGCACACAGACACTCCCATAGATGTCGCTCCACCAACAAGCGAAGAAACCAGGATGGCCATCAAACAAATCAGGAGTGGGAAAGCAGTAGGACCTGAATGTACACCAGTCGAAGCACTAAAGTCACACACATAAGCAACTGCAAGTATGCTCCACGTTCTATTCAGGAAGGTTAGGGAGGAAGAATTAGTGCCATCAACAGACTGGGAAGAAAGTTAGCTCACCAATATATCAAAGAAAGATCTGGGCAAATGTGAGGACTACGGAGGTATCACACCACTATCGGTACCAGGAAATGTGTTCGACAGTGTTGCTGAACCGGACGAGAGATTGAGCAGACGTCCAGCTTCGAGATCAATAGGTCGGATTCCGTAAGTATCGGTCGTTCACAAACCAAATCGCGACACTACGGACCATCGTTGAATAATCAGTTGAGTGAAACTCGTCGCCATACATTAACTTCCTTGATTATGAGAAGGCATTTGATAGTGTGAACAGAATATTATGAAAGCTTCTTTGACACTATGGAGTGAGTACCTGGAAAGAATATGTAATTCACACGATGGAATACAGTGCAAGTCGTGTATGCATGACAGATGACAAATGCATTCCAAGTGAGAACCGATGACAGATAAGACTGTTTACTCTCATTCTTCCTCTTTTTTCTGGTAGTTGACTGGATTATGAAGACCTCGACATCTGAGGGAAAGCACGAAATCAATTAGTAGATTTGGAATTCGTAGATGACGAGGCCCTTCTATCCCATACACATCATCAAATGCAGGTGAGGACAACTAGTGTAGCAGCAGCCTCTGCAGCAGTAGGCCTCAATATACACAAAGAAAAAGGCAAGATCCTCAAATACAAAACAGAGAACAATAACACGATCGCACTTGATGGAGAAGCTCTGGAAGAGATGTAATCTTTCAAGTAGCTGGGGAACATCACTGATGAACAAAGAGGATCCGATGCAGACGTAAAGGCAAGGACAACATTCCTACAATTGAAAAACAGATGCAACTCAAAACAACTGTCAACCAATATCAAAGTCACAATCTTCAACATAAACTTCAAGACAGTTCTACTCTACGGAACTGAAACTTGGAGAACTACTACAACTATCATCAATAAGGTACAAGTATTTATGAATAGTTGTCTACACAAGATACTCAACATCCATTGGCCGGATACCATCAACAACAGTCTACTGTGGGAGAGAACAAACTAACTTCCATCTGAAGAGCAAATTATAAAAAGACGCTGTAACTGGACAGGACATACATTTTGGATTTCACCAAACTGCATCACGAGGTAGGCCCTGACCTGGGATCGTGAAGGGAAACGGGAAAGAGGAAAATCAAAGATCACACTGCGTCGGGAATTGGAAGGACACCAAAAGGATAAACAGCAACTAGAAAGGACTGTCCAGGACAGGGTTAGATGGAGTGTTGGTGGGCGGTCTATGCTCCTCCAGGAAGGGCAACATGCGTAAGGATGTAACAAATGAGCACAGGAAATAAGTGAGTGCATTGACTAGTTTATGTATTTCGCTAGCAATAGTGACTGTGGATGGAGAATTTACAATCTTACCAAGAGCAATAGACATTTAAATACATTAAAGCATAAAACGGTTAAGGAGGCTGATCGCTCACTGATTAGTGGAGAGTTGCGTAGTGTTGTTATCATAGCTAATATTAAACACGGCCTTTCCAGCTGGTAAGACTAGCTTATCCAGAATGTGAGGTTCAAAGTCGGGAATACGAATAGATATTCGATGACTGAATTTCATTAAATTTAAAGACAAGGAACAATAATTATTTTCTGTCTAAGCCTTACAACAAACTGGAAAAAAGAACTTGAAACTTATAAACTACATGCCCCACCAACATGTAAGTATTCTGTACCACAATGCGCACGACATTACTAAAAGGTTGTGAATAATAACCAGTCAAAGTGAAAGACAACCATACCACTGATAGGATCAATGTCAACCATAAGAGATGTACTGTCAAGACTTCTTTAGATTATTAATTCTATTATCAGGGGAAATGTCTAGCTATCAATATGAAAGCCTTACTAAGAATATCTTCGTTTGATAAAAGCCTTTTACGTTAAAAACACCAACTGTACCTGGTGAACGAATACATCAATAACTACATCGACCAATAAAATAGTATATATGTGCAGAGTTAAATAGGCAATGATTCTCCAGATTGGAAATCAAATCTTGCATTTAGCACATAAAAAACGTCTGTCATTTCAGTTAAATGCGGTCATTATTGGTTTGCTCAGGTACTTACTTGAATTAGATTTATTGGACTGATGACACAAATTTCATTATAATCATCAAGAATACTCAAATGATACTATAAACTCAACTTCGTAGACATATTATGATGATCTCTGCTAACTTAGTTAATTAACTAGGGGAATTCTTCACCTTATTTCTCATGTGGTCTGGGGTAGCTACTTAAATGCATCATAAGCGTTGGTCACTTTATTAATCCCAGTCATACTTTCATCATTTGGTCAACCTGTATTAGGCGACAGCTTGAAAATCACTCCACTGATTCCTGGATTGTCTAAACATACGAAAAGATTGGGCATGTCTATTGAGTTAATGGCTGTGTTCCACAATTCTACATACAAATATAGGCACATATGTTTGACCAAATATTTAAAAAACTAATGCGCTAACACAAATTAAGTAACGCAATACGATGGAAAGAATTATAATCACAAAATAGCGATTACTTCAAATACTTCAATAAATATGGATAAACGTACCAGCCCTACATATTAATTCTGTTTGCATATGAGTTGTATTGCCGCTGATATGAAGAAAAATTGTTTCCGAATGGTGAATGAGACGCCATATTATAACCTTGCATGGAATTATACATACCAGGGTTGAAATCACGTGAACTATGGCTATTCATTACTGAGTTGTATTGCCAGGCTAAAACGCAAAGAAGATGAATTTACAGTACAAACAAAATACCCCAAGGGTTGTGCGAATTTCCAAAATGCGAATTGGGATACATAGGACTATTTCGATTTTGCTGAGGGTGTAATTTGGGGACTGCAGAGCCGATTGACACACAAACACCTTCTATAACTTGGTCTTTTCCCAGTAGTTCCGCTGCAACTTCAGGATCTTCGAATGATACGAAGGCAAATGAACGAAAAGGCTTGGGAATAAATACATCGAGTACCTGTCAGCAAATAGACAATGAAAATGCAACTTACTGCACCAAATTGTGAAAAGTAATCTCTTAGCACAGAGGCTGTAATGGACTCAGTAATTCCACCCACATGTACCTTTCGGCTTACTTCTTGACGATCTCCTTCCAACTACGGATTTTGTAAGAACACCATCCTTACCTTGGAGATGGGTATTCTGACGTCACACAAACGTCCATCTATACTATGTCGTTCAGACAGACACATAATTTGCGATTCCATATCGCTATACCGAATGAATCCGTACCCTTTGCTCAAATTGGAATCGGGATGTCTTTTAACCTGGGCAACATGACAAATACAACAACAAATACCTGAACTGTTACGAGGTCACCGTAACGTGAGAAATATTCCTTTAGTGTGGATTCATCAGTTTTCCACGCCAAGTTTAAAACAATTAGGTCTGTGCACTTCTTCTCCTCCAGCTTTTTAAACTTCGAACTGTAAGTATCTTTCTCTTCCATACCTTTTCGCTTATTTTCTATATATCATTACGGAATACCACACAAAGATAAAGGTACCTCTAGGTAATGCACACTGATAAACATGCACCCATCCATCTGATGGAGCATAGAGTTTTCCATCATTAAGCCTTACACCTCTCAGGCAACCTGAATCAGGAGCTAAATACTTGAGACCAGTTGACTTTGGAAACACGGACTTTAGTGTGGCAAGAAGTACTGTGCCATCATCTTCAATCGGTACCTCAATGGGACTCTCATTATCATCTTCGCAAACTCTAATAAATTTTACTCCTGCCATTATGATGTTATAGCATTCAGTTGCTGACAGGTTTCCGTCTGGATTGGAGGTAAGTTAAGTGTGAGAATCTGAAGGGAATAATAAAAGAAAAAAAGACGGCAAGACTGTGATTTATGGACGAAACAATCAGACTAAAAACAACAGGTTTCGGATTTTAACGTGAAATTCATTCATCCATTCGGCTAAATAGCGTTTTAGATTATGACAGTTCGTGATGAAAACCCTAAATGTGATTCATAACCCTAACCATCAACTGTAAATCAGAATCTTTATTCTTCACATAAGTTTATAACACTCATTTATACCTGCTGGTTAGGTTGACATTCTCAGGGTCACTTTGGCAAAGTTCAAAAGACGTTCACAAATTATGGTCTCACTGAGAAGACTAGGTACAACATAGAGGGGGAGTCTGGCTGTATTCCAGCCTCACAAGGATGTCTGGGTGATAGTGGGCCATGATTTTAATACCAAAGCCCACTTGTGCGAGGTTGCAGCTACGGGGTTTACAACCCTATAGGCTTTAATACTGACGTTTACCAAGTTAGATACTGATATGTTCACTACAGCATACACAACTTTAGCGACGGGGGGCTTGGGAAGCTAGACCACTTAACTCTGTCCTATCGCACATTAACAGATGATTTGACTTTGATACAGGATACTAAGAAATGATTTTGGACCCGATATATCTTCTCTTTTTCTTCTTACCAGATCAGGATAACTCAGAGGACATATCAGACAAGTAGAAAAGCCAATCACCAACCCTTGAGACGTGTTACTCGAAGTAGTGTTCAGCAGTTTAATCGACTCATTCAAGAGATTGGACACTCAGAAGCTTACTAGGAAAAGACTAACACATTCCGTAGGCTTTTTGTCCTTACTATAGTAAGGATTTTTCAGATTGATTTGTGTATACACAAGTCTGAATCTGAAAAGTGAGCAGATAACTCTTTAGGCACATAAATTACATTTAAAACTAACAACAACTACCAACACTCAAACTTTGACTGAAGGTAGTTTGGCAAATAAAACTAGAAACTAAAATCGATGATGTTGCAAATATCTTACAACGCAAAAAAACGCAGGAGCCGCGCTCTACATCCAAAGTTCAATGCGACCTTATTTCATGTTCATACGCCTTTAATGTTGCAGCACTCTCTTATGAATTGTCTTCACTCTCATTGACCTGATGATAATTGCTCTATAAGATAACAACTGCTCTCACGATGTGGTTAAAAAGGATGTAACAAAGCAGTGTTTTTCAGTCACACGGCGTAAAATTAAAAGCATGAGGTTGTGGAGGTTATCGAGCGTTTTTAGCAGCCATGAACTGATCAATATTACATCACCATTTAAAACCTGCTAGCACTGTGCTCGTTTCGTACCAGTATGGGATTCCTCAGCAGAGTACATCCGCGATCCCGCATGAGGAGCTTAGACACAGGACATTCGGTGTCGCTCGAACACCAAGCCTAGAGACCACTGAGTCGTAATCAACTGACGATACTGAGCAACTATCTTTCACTGTTTTCAGTGGGTAACTAACACTCGACATGAGACAGAAGGTCCTGGGTTCAAATGGTTGTGGACGGAATAGATGAAGCTTTCACTTAACAAGTTCCCGTGTCTAGTAGCAGGGGATCACCAAATCCTCTAGGCAGGAACCTAGGTATGTTAACAATAAAAGAGAAAAAGGAATTGGTAAATCGTAATATGATGCTGTCCTTGGTCCTTAAGAATAGGTCAAGTTGCCTCTTGAAGAACTCCTGAGAAGTCGCTTGGACTAGCTCGGTCGGCAGCGCGTTCCAGCATTTGACAACACTTAATGAGTAGAATTTATGTCTACATTCCGTTTTGCTATGTTTTGTCTCCAGTTTCTGGGTGTTACCCCTTAGGTGAGTGTTCGAACTAAGCTTGAGTAGGTGTTTAAGAGGATGTCCAGAAGTATTAAGAATACTATAAGCCATTAATAGATCATCTCTAAGATGTCTTTACTCTAATGGGTAAAGGTCTAGTGGGTGGAAGCGCTCTTCGTAAGGTTTAAATTTGAGCCCTCGAACTGATTTCGTGGCTCGCCGTTGGATACGCTCCAAAGTGTCCTTATCCTTTTGGAGTGAGGGGGAAGTACTATGTAAATGGAGACGGATAAAACTATTGAAGATTATATGGAGAGTTCTTCCGTCAAACTGTCCAAAAATGCGCTTCAACGTTACCGGTGCAGGGTTTGCTCGGAAGGCATTTTTGTCACAGTTAGCATAAGACTTTAAATCATGGGGCACCAGAACTCCTAAATCTTTTCCTACTTGGGACACTACTAGAGAGGAGTTTTCTAATTTATAACTGTAGTCTGCGACATGTCTCAGGTGGACTACTTTACACTTTGAAGTGTTAAAAGTAAGTCCATTATTATCTGCCCAACATTTGAGTCCAGTCAGATCCCCCTGAAGTGCCAGTATATCGTCTTGATGGCATATCTCTCTCCAAAATTTAACATCATCGGCAAAGAGTAATAATTCTGACGTTACCTGTTGAGGCAGATCATTTATGTAGATCAGGAAGAGAAGAGGTCCTAGCACTGAGCCCTTGGGGACCCCACAAGACATTGCATAGCCTGAGATAAAGTGAAATTAACCCTAACCTTAAAGTGTTGATTTTTCAGCTATGAAGTAAGCCAATCGATTAGAGGTGGTTTGATACCTAGTCGTTTGAGCTTATTGATAAGACACAAGTGGTTAACCTTATCAAAAGCTTTTGAGAAATCAAGGTAAATGATATCAACCTTTCTCTTGCGATCGAGGATGCTTGTCCATCTGTCCACCGCAGTCAGCAGGTTGGTTGTACAAGAGTAACCCTTCCTGAAACCATGCTGTTGGGGTGAGAAGAAATTTAAGGACAGTAGATAGTCATTTAAACCGTCGCATATCAGGGACTCCATGAGTTTTGAAGGTAATGACAGAAGAGCCACCGGCCGATAACTTGAAGGTTCATTGCGTCGACCACCTTTGAAAATTGGTGTGATGTGAGCCAACTTCCAATTTTCCGGTAGTTTGCCTCGGCTTAGCGAGTGTGAGAACATCACGCCAAGCGGCGTTGTCAGGATTGAGGCTGCTTCCCTCAGTATGGCAGGATGAACCACATCCGGGCCAGGAGAAGTATCTAGTCTTAAGTGCTGCAATTTCCGGAACACCAAGTCAGCGCTTAGGTCCACTTCGGAAAGTCCTGTGGAATTGCAGATGAAACTGTCGTCAGTAAAGTTGATATCGACCGGTTGAAATGTTTGAGAGTAATGGGCCTCCAGAAGGTTAGCGGCGTCGCCATCGATATTGATCGGGCCGTTAAGACCTACCAGTTGAGAAACTCCTGTTTTGGCTCGACGAAGAGAGGCTGCATAACGGAATAGGCTTCTAGGGTTAGAGGCAAATTTGTCCATAAGCTTTGTCTGGTACTGAAGCCTGTCTTCTCTTATAGCCTTCGTGCATATGTTCCTTATATGTTTATATTGCCTATACGCTCCGTCATTATCAGTTCGTTTGTATTCCGCCCAGCAGTGCCTTTTGCGGCTTAGCAGGAGAAGGGTACGGTTCTTGATTATTGTGGGTGAGTTGCAGCTTTTGGGAACCGTTTGAGGAACTGAATGGTCTGTAGCACATAAGAGCATGTGCAGTAAGAAGTCCCAATGACCGTCCACATCGAGTTGAGGGTGGACATCCCAAACCACCTGTTGTAGATAGTCGTGTAGAGCTGGCACATTCAACCGTCTAAAGCTCCAACGCAAGTTACTGGTGGGATACCTTAGCTTAGTTTTGCTGACAAAACTGAAGGCTATGACTGCACGATCGTTTTTTCCCAGAGGAGCCAGAATTGAGAGGTTGTCAACTAGGAATTCTTCGTTTGTGAATACACAGTCTGAGCGCGATGGTGTCTGACTGTTTCTCCAACGGGTTGCCGACCTCGCATTTTCGTACAATCCCAAGTCATCGATGAGGTTGAAGAACCGAGCTTCAATTGAGTTGTCGCCCCTGGTATACGTGTGTTCCGCGAAGTTGACTTTAGGGAGATTAAAGTCCCCTAAGATGTGTGTGAAATCGAAACGAGTAGAGCGGGATAGTCCTTCCAGCATACGACTATCGTACTCGATGTCGGCAGTTTGCTTCCTGTAAATGACTCCGACTAGACACCTCGAAGTACTAGGCAATCTTACAGAGCACCATATGAATCCCCGAAGACTGTTAAACTCGAGGTTATGAACTTGGTGCACCTTCAAGCAAGAACGTATGTATACGGCTACTCCGCCCCCAAATCCTGATTTTCTGTCGTTACGGAACAAGGACATCCCAGGTAATGCCAACTCTTGGTCCGAGAACTAAGATATCCAGGTTCCAGATATTCCTATCAGATGGGCCTTATTAGCGTTGGGTTGGAGTCCGCTGTGCAGGTTCGTGGATGCGCACTACTGAGAAGTCCCATACTAGGACAAAACAGCCGTCAAGTGCTTCCAGTTTTCCAATGGTGGTCCGGCGGTGGACGGTTCATTATTTCAATAAAAGCGTGGAGCTGACCCTAAAATGACTTCGCTTTTCTGAGAGTATTAGATGTTCAGATAGGTACTTGAATAACTCCTTTCTGATAATCTTTACTAAAATGTTGAAACCCACCTTCGTTATTGGCTATAAAAGGTAACTTTGTTTGTCACGTTTTGTACCTGCTTTGGTTACACGAGTTATTAAAACATGCTTGGTGGTAAAACGCTACAGAAACAACAGTTTTACAAGAATTTTACATCATTATTGACCATAATAGTTTGACTGTAAACAAAACTGATGAGAGTGATTGGTAAACCAACCTCATCAGATCACGTCCGGGCAAAGCTAGATTCTCTCCTCTTACAACAGATAGTCAGATTGGATTACTTACACCATTTTTTAATAAACAATAGCAACTCTTCATTCTTGACTTATGGCTTTACCAGCTTAAAGATCCCAGTAATATGAGAAATTTAG